TATAATTTCCATAATTAATATTATTCTTTAAAGCGCAAAATGCTCGGTTTCATTTATTTAAAAGATTTTATATAATAATGAGTATTTTTCAAAATGTATGATATATATTGATAAATACCTAATTAACTTACTATTATACATAGAAATGTAATTAATTATTTCTTAATGAATCTTTTCTAGTAATTCCCCTGTTTCAAATAGCTCGCCTGTACCATTTATTAGGTCTAAATGAGTATAAAATTGAATCATCTAAAACATGATTGGAATAAAAGTAACATTATAAAAATTTATTTTTTTTACTAAGAAACTTGTAGTTGTAGAGGGAGAGTATAATTTTAATTTCAAAAAAGCTGGATTTTAATTTGATATCATATTTTAGCGTATAATTATATTTAATTCATTTAAGAAAAACAAAAGAGGAAGAGTGCAATTTATGAAAAAGATATCGATAATACTTGGATTTATAAATCAAAAAAAAAGTATTCTGGGTTTTGATGTTGTTTTTTGAGTGATCCTTAGGCAAATCTTGAACTACGCTATCACAAGCTCAGCATATTATAAAAATTATTGGTATATATCTATGGCTAAGGTAGTTAGAAGTATTAGTGTGAACCCACTTATATTAATCCAACCTAAAAGTTGAGCTGACTCTCTGTTTTGATTTTATTTCAGAATTTCATATAAAGAAAAAATTGAAACGTTCAGCGCAATCAATACTTCAGTTACTATTATTTTGATATTTTCAAAATGGTTCTTAAAAGGTTTATAGATAAAACAATAACAGGAGAATACTCCGGATAGACAACCCGTAATTAAGCTTTAAGCCCCCATAAGACCTTACATCGCTACTAAATTTACAATGAATAAGGTTTTTTTAATCAACATAATAGTAAAATATTATTTTGCTCCTTAACATTTTTAGTCCTTAATACCCTCAACCAATACAGATAAATTCAGAGCAACAGCATTCTTTTAGCTTAGATAAAAAAAAAACTTGCCTAATAGTATTAAATTACACAGCAATGTAATAAGAGCTAAAAAGGAAATAGTTACATTTAAAGTGGTCTCTGTATTAAAATTTACCAATTGCAGAATAGATGCATATGTCAACTCATAAAAGTTAGATGTAAAAATTCTTATTAATCCAGAATAAATAAAATACTAAAAATATTTTCTAGCAGTCCTCTAAAAGAAAAAAATAATTTTAACTACTTTATAATAAAAATCTTTTTGATAAATTGTTGCCCAATTTTAATAATTGATGAAAATAAGGAATTTTTAAAACCAATAGGAAATTATAAAATAGGTAAATCCCATTATTAGCATCATAAAAAGGGTTTAGAGGTTTTACAAAAAGTAACAATTAATTTTATAGTTTTCAAATTTCCATTTTGCTTAGATAACTGGAATTTAGAAATCAAATATGTCTCTTAAATTTTGATCTATTTGAAATTTATCAGCAATAGGGGTAAAAGAACCAATAGTAAAGACTTCAAAATAGCTTTCTAAGTTTTATGGGAATGCAATATTGTGAAATTTCATATATGATAATTATTAAAGCAAATCAAGGAGATTCCATAAAATCTCTAAATTCCCACATAAAAAAGAAATTCCACTTATAAATACAATGAAATACAATACAATTCTACTCAACATGGACGTCTTGGACATAAGTGACAATTGATCAGCTGATATCTTATAGGGAGACCTAAATTCTAATTTTGCTTCCTTTGAGAACAAGGTATTCCCTTAGCTATTAACTATGCTGTCACTGATAATTTTAACTTTTAGAACAGGATTTTTAACATTAGATTTAAAATTAATTAATAATTTATACTCTACATCTGCCAACTCAGAAGTGATAGAGATAATTGATTTAATTTCTACATCATATTCAACTTCTTTTGCATTTATTATTTCAATGAGAATTAACTGCAGAAATTGTTCTTCACTAATTCCTTTTTCACTTAAACAAACAGGTTCAGAAAATGACAATTTGAATTCTTGAAAACTTGTATCAGTTTTAGATAGCCTGGTCAATGTAATTTTGGGAAGAATTGCATAGTTGCAAAAACTAATATTACTTTCTGTTGAACATTTCCAATCCTTTTCAACCTTACAATTATCACTGCATCCATCATTATTGTACAAGTTTCCATCATCACATTCTTCTAATTGTTATGCAAGGTATCCGTCTCCACAAATATTATAACATAGATATCCATCTTCTACATACCCAACTTAACATAAAGTACATTATCCTTGAAAACAATCTACACACATTTTATCACATTAATAGGAACACTAATAACAACCATCAAATTATATGTTATTTCCATCATCACATTATTCACTCCCTACTACATAACCATCACCGCATTTTGAAGTACAAACCCCTTCAACCAATTGCCAACCATTTTTATTACATTCTTAGCATTATTTGCCTTTGCATATATTGCAACCTTATGGGCATTAAACTTGACATTTATAACAACCATCATATGGTAAGTAATTTCCATCATCGCATTATTCATCCTGGTCTGTAACAATGCCATCGCCGCAGTAATTAATACATTAATTTGAAAAGCATTTATTTATATTTGTATCCCAAATGCATTCATAATTCGCACTATCTGTTTAACAAGCTTCTTTAATTTGATAATCTTAACAACTCTGCTTGTTAGTGCATCCTCCATTTTCTTTAACTGTACAAGAGGGCAAATATGAATTGCATTCCTCATGTGTAACAAGTGTAACTTATGCCCTCTAGCAGATTTTAATATAGCACTTTTCATCAGTCCAAACACAAGGATTTAGATTAACATCAAACTTACATTCATCAAATAGAAATATATCTTCACAGTTCTTTCTTTTAACACATCGACTTCCATTTGTTATACACCTCTTGTCTTCAAAAATAGATTCGCAAACTGAATCTATAGAGTAATGGTAATCAAAACAACCTTTTATATGGCAACCATCCATTTGGCATGATGGAAGGAAAATTTTACATTCAGAATTAGATGAGGCATCTGTAGGTCCATTTGCACATATTCGTTCTTAACAAGCATTTTTTTCGTTATTCCAAAAACAATCTATACCACTTAAGTTTATTTAACCATCACTGATGCATTGTTGATAGTTATAATCTTTACAAAAAGTTTGACTAATTTCGCAACTATCAAAGTATTTATTTACGGTACAAGAATCACCAAAATACTAACGGCAACCATGTGCTGTATATTAATTGAGCTAGGCTGATGAACATTCCTTAATCATACAAACCTGTTGACTAATAATCCATTCACATTCAATATTATTTTAATCAAAATGACATTATTCTTTGATAGAATAATTATTGCAAGTATTCAATTACTAGCATCCATTCAATGTAGTATTTACCGTACACTCTTTTAACTTTTAGTTACATTACTCATGACTTCTAAAGTTTGTGTCCAAATTTGAACATGTTAAAAGTAAGCATGTTTGAGTCGATTTTGAATAGTAGCATTAGTTACCATTGATATCCAAATAGCATTGCATCTATTTAGCTAATCCACATGAAGCAGGAAGGTCTTCACATTTAGTAATATCAAGTTTGGCAGTGCAGTTTTTGTTAAGATAGTAAGATTCACATTAATCATGTGTGATATATGAAACATCAGCAGAAGTACAATCTTCTACACATAAATTATTATTGACATTAAACTAACAATTAATAAGCCAATTATTGCAATCTTGGGTAGAAATTGGGGTCATTTGTATATTCTAACAGGTTTTTTCTATGCATTAGATACTATTCCAGAAGCAAGGAATCCCTTTTGAATTGTTATTATTTAAACACAAGTTATAAGTAGAATATTCATTACAAGAACCAATAGTTTTACAACTAGAATGATCCCAAAAACATTTTGTAGAATAAATATTACAATTTGACATTACTAGTAAGAGAGAGCAATTTAAGAGTTGACATTGGGAAGTAGTTTTAAGCATACAATCTGAATTCCAATTATAACACTCTTAGTTTGTAGAAGGATTAGTAGTTACTGCTTCGCAATTATTTTTACAACTATCAGCACTCCAAACACAACTCACACCATTTATTGTGCTAACACAAGCATCCTCGTAGGTGTATTCTGAGCATGATTATTTTTTTATTATGCATATTTCACTTGTTTAAAATTAAATTGTTTACAAGCTATTTACATAGTTGCAATCTTGATGCGACTTAGGTGAAATCATGCTATTTAAATTGCAATATTCATAATTTGAGCATTTAGTAATGTAATCTTAACACCAGAAGCATTTAATGATTGCATAGCCATTTGAGCCATAACTACTCTCACAATCAGATTATATAGTATAATCTGAGCAAGTACGATATAAACAAGAGTCACTTATCCATTAACAATTTTATCCATCAACAAGATTTGATATATTACATATTGTTTCGTTTTTGATATGATTACAATTAAAAAAAGAACATCCTAAACCTTTTGTATAATTAAATCTACAATATTCAGCGTTTTCTAAAAGGCATTCACGATTTGTCAAAGCAGTTGTATTAATTTGGCAATCAACATGATTAACACATTTACCATTCTACCAATAGCATTAAAATTAATAACATTGAGAAATTAATTTTATTAAAGTGCAATTTTATAGGTAGGTTATACAACCTGTAATATCGAGAACACAATCATATTTCCAATCAAAGCAAATTTAATCTGTAATAACAGAATAATTTTAATACGTTAAATGTTCGCATTATCTATTCTCACAAGAATATGTCTCAAAATTATACCCACATCTTGAAATTGAACTTGAACTTGAAATTACAATTGAAGAATTACAAAGTTATTATTCACCATATTGTTGGCTGCAATCATTCATATTTAGACAGCACTAACAACTGGTATCATATATGTAATTAGATGAATAGTCTTAACATTATTTTTTCCTATCTAATGCAGATAACTGAAATTGTAGGTACTAAGCTGTTGTTTATTATAAACAATCTCTTAAACAATAATATTAATCACATTCTTTGTAAAAGTAACATAATTATCCTAAAAGTGTTTTTCTTTTCTCACAATAACTGAATAAGAGAATTTTATCTCCGCAATAATTATCTGAACGACAACTGCCGTAATAGTTGCACTTATCATTGAATTTCATTATCGCACTCTTACAAACATTGCTAGATAAATCTGAACAACTGTAAATGGAATAGCATCCTTGTCCACTTGATTATAGAACACAGTAGGGATTGTATAATTAACAAAGTTCATTGCTTTTACTATCTATAATCGCTTCACATTGATAAGATTGTACAACTTAACATCTAGAATTAATAAAATAACATCTTTCATTTTATTAAGTTAGTGTCAATTTACATTTTAAAGGATGTGTAACCTCATCACAATGACTTGGTCTAACCTCACACCCTCGTCCATAAGTCCCATTATCTTAAATCTTTAATTGACACTAACTAAATTTTCTAAAGTTTAAACAGTCCGCCTCAGTTTTAGCAGTTATATAATCACTGCACTTTTTATCTTTACAAAGTTTATTTCTTGCATCCCATTTGCAGGGCTACTAATCAATTGTGATTACACATTATTATTCCAATTTATAATCACACTAAGATGAAAGAGCTACACAGGATCCAATAATATAATTTATTGTACACTTTTATAGAAAGTTCTCACAATTATAATGCGATAAATCTCCATAAATTCTTTTGCTACAATCTCTAGCATCATTCTCTTCATAACATTTTTGCTCATAATCATCCCAATAACAATTCTAACCAGTCAAATTTGATTTGCAAATTCTTTGCCTGATATATTCGGAACAATTCGCATTTTTCAATTCGCAACTTTATTATCTAAGGAAATTCACAGTGCATGTAGGACTCCACGCTTAACATTCAAAGTGCGTATCATACATACTGTTATTTGGAGAGGTCGCGCAATCAACTTAACTAGGTCTGTTCATACATCCTCCTAAAATTGGATTAAAAATACAATAATCAAGCAAAGTATTGCATTCAATATTGTTAGTATAATTAATTAAAGAAGCATCTGAACATTCTAAAATTTTACATAAACTACCAGTCCAAAAACACTTTGTCCCATCTTAAAGATTTTACTAACATTATTCGTAACTCATCAAATGATTGCATGTATTTGCCCATAGTTAGCACCCAATTCCAGAGGATCCTATTATGCAAATACCCTCCAAAACTTTGTAAGAGTTGCAATCTTGATTTTTTTTGTATACATTAGGATTTGCATCAGTGCAAATTTGATTAATGCAAATTTTACTTAGTTTATCCCATTTACAGTGAATCCCTGAAAATGTTGAAAAGCATTGTTCTTCAAGAAGAAATTCGCATTCATTCTTTTTATCAATACATCCAAATAATACTTTTTAATTTGATAATTCTTATACATTAACTGTGCATTACGGCAACCACTCTTCACATTAAGAATTACTTTCAAAATCTGATGGAGCATTAATGCATTTTTTTTCTATACATCCTTAATTTATCGTTTAGGCTGTTTCTTTTGAATCACAAATCTCAATTTCTTAAATAAGTTTGCATAAATAATCTTTGCAACCCAAAGTATCTAGATTTGAAGCGCAATTCGAACTTACCTGCTAACATAATTTATGATTTTTATAGGTTGGTAATTTCAATTTATTACATCCAAACAATGTCCATATCCCTTCTAACCAAGTACATCTTTACTTATTCTAATTAAACTCACAAAATTATTCTTTTAAACTCTCATCGCAAATATTTGGCATCTATTCACATCCACCATCCACCTTTCCTATACAATTTCCATATCGCTTACAATCTGTTTGAGTATAATAAAGTGGAGCATGGTGACATTCTCTTTTTTCACATTAATTGTTTTACCACACACAATCTTATTTTTCAATCGAATAACAATCTACTAAATTTGCATAATCTTTGCATATCTAAGGTCTTTATTTACACCCTCCAATTTCATTAGTAACACAATCTAACAAATTGTCATAGTCTTAGCATTATTGATAATTTGAAAGTGAATTCAAAGCAGTGTCACAGCTTTTGATTTTACATTAATTGTTTTGATACTCGCATTTGTTTCCCTAAGCATCTGTAACACAACCAACTTTATTCTGAGCTTCACTACATTACTTTCTTAATATACAATGAATGCCGTTTGATGTACATTCACTTAAAAGCTATTAACACTCATAATCTGAAGTAAAAGGTATATTTTGGCACGCTCTTTCAACACATTTACCATTTGTTGAATCCCAAAAACAGTTTTAATTTGATTGTTAACTTTCAAAGCATTAAAAATCATTGTAGTATTATGTGCATTCGTCTTTTTATTTAATACATCCATAACCTAATTCACTTACAGTACAACCATCTAGACCTTGTTTACACATTATATGACTCGCTAGATATGTTGGTAGTTCTTCACATATAATAACATCTCTGCATTTTTTTCCCATTTCCTGAACCCAATAACAGTACCCACCATTTTAACTCTTATTTGCGCATGCTACCTCTGTTTTGTAGTCCTTGCATTCCAAAATTTCAACACACTTTGAGCCATCAGATACACATCTATAGGAAGATGATTAACATTGATCCTTTTTGAATACAAGGCAATCAATGAAGCTAATACATTAACCCAAATAAAAACCGCATTACTTCTATTATCTACAATCTTCTTCTGCATAATGGTTGCATGTACTTTCATCTTAATTTTCTTAAATGTATGTTCTAGCAGAACTTAAAACACAAACATCATTCTACCAGAGGCATATACCTGAGTTTTAACATTACGTTTTACTACGTACATGTCCGCAAACGCATTCTTTTGAGATCTCTTGAGAGCTTATAAATAGAAATAGAACAAATAATAGCATATAGAAAATAAAAAATATCATTTTTAATCTTTTGATTATTTCTTGCTTAAATAATTAAAATTACTATAATTCTTTTAGAATGTTGTTTCTATTAAATTTATAGAAATACTCAAGTAAAATTATTCTACAAAAATTTCTAAGACTTCAATTTCTTTGAGTCAATACTAAAAATATGACTAAAGATTCCCTTTTAAATAACTTAAAAAAAGTATTCTTATTAGCACTTTTGTTATGATCTAAAATTACTTAATAAAAATTTTTAGATTCCAACTTATAAAATCCTTATTTAATTAATATAATTTTTTTTTTATTATTTTACATTTTAGAAATTATAATTTTCTATGATTAACCCATTCCAAACCTTACAAGTTTTTAAACTCAGTTATGACTACCTTCTAAGATCTCTTCATAAATATGTCCATCGTATTTTAATATTTACTTGAATCTTTAACCCTTTTGCATTTGGTTATTATTCTGACTAATTCTTTTATTCAACACTTCATGATGACTAATTTTATTATAAATTTGGATTAATGGCAATATGAAAAGTGATCTTTCATTTTATTACAATAACAAATTGAAGAACTGGAGAATTCTCATAGTAATACCATAATCACAACTTATAAAACTTCTAGCTTAAGACTAGGATGCTATCTTTATTGTATGAAATAATTTAAAGAAATTTATATTAGATAATTTCCTGAATAAAAATTGCTTAATTTTTTCATAAAAAAAAAGTAACTTAATATTTCTGATATTGTGCAGATTGGATAATAATATATAAAATTAATAGAATGAAACAGTTGATATGTGAATTTGTACGAATGAAAGCTTTTAACATTTTATAATTAATTGCAGAGAATTCATGAATCAAATGAATCAAGTTGAACGAAATAGTCAAGTGCTAATTAAAAAACTGCCAATAAGCTGATATAAGAGTGCTTATATTAAATGATGCTGTATTGATATTATAATGCAAACTGTTTAAGATTGACAATTAGTTACTTATAATAAATAAAGTAAGGAAAAAATGAATTAAATAATGAATTAAATTTTAAAATGTAAATGTAATAGAAAATAAATCAAATTTCCTTGTTTGAAATATGAAGGATCCTATTATTATTTATTAAGCAAGACACAGAAAAACAGAGTATGTTTGTGAGAAATGTTACATAGAGCTTGAAAAAAAACAGCCAAATAAATAGAATTTTCGAAAATAATTTACATTAAGAACGTATAGTTTTATAATATACTGCAAAAGGCATTCAAATCACCTGCATATCTACTCTCAAAGCTCAATATACCTAATTATCGAACAGAGTTGTTAATTGGAATTGAAAATTACAATGATAAAACTATCAATAATATTCTTGCTGATCTCAAAACAAAGATTTCCAATTTTTAAAATACACTACAGATAAATTACTAAGAATTAGAATACGGCATCATATTTTCTATCTCTAAGATAGAATTATTAATTGGAAAAGGTATTTAAAACGAATTTATAGATTATAAAGGTTGATTTACTCAGATATATTGAAGTTAATCTTGGGAGATTCTAACAATCATTAAACTCTAGAATAAAATTAAGCTTCTCCATCTCTATTTATAAGATCTTACAAAAAATAATTGTAAAGAATTGGATTAATCTTTAATTGATAATATGGATAAAATATAGTAATAACTCGAAATGTTAAATAAAGGAGATAAATTTGTATAAAAACCTTCAAAGAATGGTTTAAATCCTTCTAAATTAGTTAATTAGATTTGGAAAATAAATAAATCTAATAAAAGATTATTCATACCATTTAATCTAAATTGAATAAATGTTCAATTCAGTATATGTGAGCATTCGAGATGAATTGAATGGGAAATAATTATGGAATAAAATCATGGTTTATCAAGTTTTTAAATCTTAGAGTGGAAATATAATTGGAGGGTTTTCTACTAGTAAGTGGCAATATTAAATGAGTTCCTATATAAAAAAGGGATGGAATATTATGCTATTTATTGTAACCTATCTCTTGGATTTTGAAGTGGTCATGATATTGTTATTGCTGCAGACTTAAATTTGGCTATTCCAAATCAGGAAGTATTAAATTAATTAATACAAAATTAGTAATATTATTACTCATTTATTTGGGTAATCAATTCCAAATATTGTTGAATGTGAGATTCGAGGTTTTAAATTTGATTGAATTATATTTACTAAATTGAAATTATGCATTAATTTAATCATAAAATTTTCTCTATATATGGAAAATAGCACAAGATTCTTTGAAGTTATGTAAATCTTAGAAATATTTTAATGTATAAGGTTTGAATTAATACCATAATAGTATTTTCCAAAGTACTGTAGAGTAACTGTATCTGAATAGCAGTATTATAGAAAGTACAATTAAATTTTATCTAAAGCTTGAGCTTATTGGGAATACTAATTGCAGATTATTGTTATATATTATACTCATTATAGTATCTGAAAAATTAGAAACATTTTAGAGTCAAATTGTTGAATTACAGAATTAAATGCATATTGTTCAAATTTTATAATTAACCACATTATTTTGTTTTAGCAACTTTAACCCAAAGAGATTTTCTAGAGTTGGTCTGGTAAAAAATTAAGTCGAAAAATGATTTTATATTTTATTCGAATGATGAAATAAAACTTTTTCATATTTTTAAAATTTTAAATAGTTATTAATAATCTATTAATTTTTAAAAC